GGAACGTTTTCAGAGTCTCAAAGTCGAAACTTTTCAGAGCCACAATACCTCCAGTGTCAGAGTTTATGTTCAGAAATGAGGTCAGTTTATTATCGTTACTGGCATCTCTCAAAATATTGTATGAAATTAGGGCATTGTCACCATCGTCACGATCAAAGGCTACCACTGAAAATAAAGACGTTCCAGGACTGTTATTCTCAGACATATAGAATACATAAGGGCTCAACGAAAACTTAGGCGTGTTGTCATTTACATCAGATATAACAACACTTATAGATTTTTCTGTTAAAAACGAGGGGTCACCAGCATCTTTTGCTACAATTGTTAGATCGTAATGAGTCATCACTTCTCTGTCTAACTTCGACTTAGTTACGACAGCATACATGTTTTCTTGTAAAGATGGAGATAAAGTAAAAGGGGCATCTTGTTTGATCATACAAATAACTTTACCATTGACCCCAGAATCTAAATCGCTGACGCTAATGAGGGCAACCGTTGTTCCTAACTTTGAGTCTTCTCTAATGGAGCTGGAGAAAGATGTCACTTCTATTACTGGGGCGTTGTCATTAACATCAGTAACAGTGATCATAACACTTTTGTCAGTTGTTAAAGGGGCTGATCCTTTGTCGGAAGCCTGAATATCTATTTCATAATTTTTACTTTTCTCGAAATCTATCTGACCCGTAACTTTGATTTCTCCGGTGGTTTCATCTATACTGAAGAGCTCCATCAATTTTGAATCAACCTCTTTACCAAATGAATATATTATTTCACCGTTAGCTCCCTGATCTAAATCTGTTGCATTTACTTGTATAACAACAGTGCCAATCGCAACATTTTCTTTAACCGCTGCAGTATAAACCTCTTTGGTGAACACCGGAGAATTGTCATTAACATCAAGTACATTCACAGTTATTTCTATACTCCCAGTCTTAGCCGGTTTGCCCCCATCAACAGCTGTGAGACGCAGTCTATGTTCTCCAGCTGATTCTCTATCCAACTGCTTTTGGAGAATCAAAAACGGTACTTTATGGTCCTCACCTCGGTCTTTGACTTCGACTCTGAAATGTTCATTGGGACTGAGTTTATACTGCTGAATGGAGAACTGGCCTACATCGAGGTCGCGAGCAGCTTGTAATTGGAATCGCGCTCCTGGCAAAGCCGACTCTGAAATGTCAAGCCTTTTCTCTTTTTCTTGAAATACGGGCGAGTTGTCATTCACGTCAAGTATTTCAACTGCCACATAATGTATCTCCAGTGG